TTAAAATTAATTTTAAAATTAATTTTAAAATATTTTTTAAAAATTAATTATTAGCCAATCAAAATGCAAGAATTTACAAAGACATCAAATTTCAATATGAAATTTTTGAAAATGGGACAAATTTCATAAATTCTGCCTTTAGGTGTCCTGCACTGTACCTCTATCAAGAAGTAGTACAAATGTAATGGAAAAAAAGAAAAATACACTATTATAACCCGTGCCAGATTTAAGAAAAAATTTTATAACAACTGCAATCTTAGTATATCTCGACTACAAAATCTAACAACTTATTGTCTGACTACCGACCACCTTCGAATGCTACTAGAGACCCAATTCCAGTCATGTATAGATCATATATCTATAGACTACATTGCATCACATATCCATCAATAAACAAGACACGTGGTTGCATTCCTGGGTACTTCCGGATTTGGGAGGTAAACAATATTGATTTTTTGAAGAGGGTAAGCCAAATCACTTACTTTTTGTCGAAATTTTTGAGAAAAACCGGCCGAGCGCAAAATACTTAGAACAAGACCACTTGCACCTAAGGAAAGTAGTTACATTCATGAAAAGACTCAAAAACTCCTAAATCTTCTTCTAGGAAAGGGGTGAAGCACCTATACTTCTTTTTTAGTGAGTGATAAACTCTGGGCTTGTCGGCAAGTAGCATATGAAAACTACTTCTAAACGACAAGTGCCGTGCGTGTGGTGAGTGATAAACTCTAAAGAAGTTAGCAGGTAGCATATGAGAATACCTCTAAATAACAACTGCCGACTTATAGCGACTAGTATGCCCTCTGTGTTTTACTAAAAGCTATTGTGTTTTTACAAAAAATGTGTTTAGATTTTTTGGTACAGATGATCATTGGAAAGAGTTGATTATATCGATATAAATCTGCATTTCCAACAAGTTAAAATAATTTTTTACAAAATAAATTTTATTTTTAATTTTAAAAAAGTATAAAGAGAAAAATATTGGTCATAATAGTAATTAAAATATTAAAATTTGTTTAATAGATTATAAGTTATAAGATATTTAATCTTTGTAATTATATAGTTTCTTATAACTTACTGTATTTGGACATACAGATTTTTAAACAATAGTAAATTTTATTATATGATTTTTCCGATTCGTATCTGAAATACTAATTAAATATTTATATCTCAAGGCACATATACCGATATACTGCTTGACCATGTGACTATTGACCGGTCATAACCAGTGTTAAAATTCGATCTTGTTTCAATGGAAATGCTGAAATGCTTGATAATTTCTAACTAGAAAAACGGCGACGTTTTGTAGGCTGGAGCCTTAATTCTTAGGTCTTATACTTTAGAATTAAACTTAAGATATATTTGAATTTTATAGGTTGCTATTACATATTATATTTTCAATAAATTCATAATATAAATGCTATTTACATATTATATTTATAATAAATTCATAAGACTAGGAACCGGTGTAAGTCTGGAGCGACAAATTTTTAATAACTTTACTAAATACCGTATTAAATAATATATATTACACAACATATTAACCAATAAAATTTATAGTTTATTTTTTTTTATTATAATATATATATATATATATATTTGAAGCCAAAACAGTCTCGAATAAATTTCTACAACTAAATCATAATCTAAATCTAACCCTAAAGTCCCAATAAAATTAACCTAATAATTAACCTTAAGGCCTAAGTTGAGATCCGCTCAAGTTTAATAACAGATTATATGTGATTACAGCCATTTTCAAAAATGTGTGGACGATTTCCATATACCTATGTAAAAAATCAAAGAATTTAGAAATTTAGATTAGTAAGAATTATAGCTATTTTCAAAAATGTGTGAATGGTTACAGATCATGATATTTTCCAGATTTCCGGAGTTTTCAAGACCCGCTCTAATCAGAAGTTTAATTTTTATAATCTAAATTCCAAATTCTTCGATTTCCCACATAGGTATGTGGAAAATAGTTCACACATTTTTCGATTAGGACAGTCTTGAAAACTCTGGAAATCTGGGAAATATCGCGAATTCCCATGACATGGTGATTTTGCAACCGTTCACACCTTTTAGAAAACAGCTGTAAGGGCAAAGTTAGTTTGTGTTGAAACTATCGCCAAAAACTTGTAGACCATTGCGATAACGTATGTTGTTGAGTTGTCAAATTAGTTGTACCTGATTTCAATAACACATCGTGTGGTTAAGGTAGCGTCAGTTTGTATTGGAATTATCGTGATTTCCATCGTGACAGACCACTGTAATGACACACAATATATTGTTTGAATTGGAATTAGCAATGACTCTATCGTGAGTTACTGCAAAAAAATTCTACCACAGACTTACAGACCATTGTGATGACCGTGATTTCGATTGTGATTTACTGGAAAAATCCAGTACATTAATCGAACCTTTCAACTTAATCCAATACAAAACTCACCTAACCCTACTTAAATTCACTTCCGCAGCTACAAATTCTTCCCGGTCATGGCTAGGCATGTCAACAAAATAGCCTGTAAGTACTATAATCGAATTTTTTTACAGTAAATCACCATCAAATCCAATACAAAACTAACTTTAACCTTATATAAATTACTTACTAGCGCTACAACTTCTTTCTTCCTGGTCTCAGAATTACCTCTAGGATGTCATCACGATATTCTGTAAGTACAGTAATCGAATTCTTATTGTAAATTACCATATAAATCACGATAATCCAATATCAAACTACCATAACCTTATCTAAATCTACTTATCTATCATGTTACTGCAATAGTCATTAAGTAACCGAATTTTTTTACGGCCAATCACTATACAAATAACGATAAATCAATACAAAACTATAGCGTGTAAGTAAGTAATCGAATTTTTTACAAAACTTAAGAAAGTAACGAAATTTTAAATACTTACGAGGACCGGCGCAAAACAACAGCGGAGCGACGAAAGAAAAAGACGAAACATAAAAAATCACCTTTCATGCACTAACAAAAAGTTTTTCCTTGAGCGATTTACTATAACTGACTAAACCCAAACCCCAACCTAACAAAACACTACGACGATTAGGAGAATAAAAAATAAACGCCACTGACCACGAAGAAAGAACATCGAAATGGTCGGACAGGTTTTCATAAATTTTGGAAAATCTGGCAAAAATTGACCGACCGAATATCTGCCGGTTCGATAAGTTTTTGTGCAGTGATAAACTTCTGATTCAGGTGTGATTACAGTAATAGGGTTATTCAGAATTAAGGATTAAGGATCAGGTTTCTGATTTCAAATTAAATTAGTGATGTATTTATTTCGAAACCTTATTTGTAAGCTTATTTATATAATAGCAATAATAATTAACACTTTTATGATCATGAATTTTCTCTTGATATATAATATCTTTCACATATATATTCTAAAATGCCCTATATTTCTGATCAACAATTACATATTAAATTACATATTAAAGACATACTGTAAATAGTATTTTAGAAATACTAATAGAAGAATATTCTAATAATACTCAAAAAGAAATCGATGAACTGTTGCAAACAATTGAATTAGATCGATATCTTATGATTTTTTTCAAGTTCTTTTCTTTAGTGGTTTGTTTAAAAGTTTTTGGGTGGTATATTAATAATTCAAAAATAATTATGTAATATCATTTAAAAAATTTAACCAATAATTTGTAATTCTTTATTAATTTATTACAATAGTATCATTTAATAGCAATACATTATCAAAAAAAAAAGGTACACATTTTATCTCCGGATAACGTTTTCTGTTTTCAAAGTTCAAAACAGAAATATGATATTTTTGCACCTTTACTTATTTTTGAAAATAAGTAATGAATCAAAACTTATCGAATCGGTAAATATTCGGTCGGTCAATTTTGCCAGATTTTCCAGAATTTATGAAAACAGCTGTAATAAAAGCTATTTTTGTATCATAATGATCATTTTATGATATCATAACAATGTCAACGATTTTAAATTTTCGTTCAAATGCTTGTCCAAAACATGTTGGTGTGCTTAGTTGTGCAAAAATTTATAGAAAAAACTGCTCATGTCGACCAATAGCCTTAACAAGAAGGAATTGAATATAAACAGACTTTTAGCTCAAACAGGTGCCGCTATTTTGGTTTAAAAATGAATCTCGGGTTAGGATTCCAAGCAACCAATATATTATTAATATCTTCGAGAATGCACAAAGGATTATGATAAACAAAATCAAAATAAAAAAATTTTATGTTTATATTTATTTGTTTCAACAAGAAACGAAAATAAATAAATACTTTCGTTTGAACGAAAATGGATCTTGCCAAATAGGAATCAAAATAATTAAAAATGAATAAAGGATTCATTTGAGCGAAAATGGATTTTGCCAAAGAATAGGAATTGAAATTTTACACAATGGGTTCCTGTAACAACAAAGTAAAACAGTTTCATAGATTATCCGTGAAACTGTCTTACTTTGTTACAAGAACTCATTGTGTAAAATTTCAATTCCTATTTTTTGGCAAAATCTATTTTTGCTCAAATGAATCCTTTATTCATTTTTAGAATATGGCCGCTACCAAGGCAAAGAAACTACAGATAAAAATAAATCTGAACTTGATGAAATAATTGCCAATGAAACTTATTTAAAGGAGTTTAGGACAGCCGATAATTCCCTAAATCCAGATGATTATCGTCCTATGCCTATTGTAGAAGAAATTTTGCGTTGAAAAAATGAAGCCTTTTTCGATGACAAGATCCATTTTCGTTCAAACGAAGGTATTTATTTATTTTTGCTTCATGTTGAAGACAAATAAGGCCGCACAAACTTTTTTAATTGATTTTCATAACATCAACCAATGTTTAGTAACACGGGCACAGACTTTTTTTTTTTAAAAAAAAAATTTTTATTTTAGCACAGCTCAAACGTCCAGTAAACGCTTTTATTTGCAGAATTTATACTTCTACGAATTCAAGAATATTGAAATGCGGATTCTGAAAATTCTGAAAATTCTGTAAAATTCACATGTACTGTATAAGTGCGAAGCAACACCCTCCTGTGTGCTAATTAATTGACCTGCGCATAAGAGAAGATTTTCTAAACTCAATATAGTCGACCTTCAATAAATGCACATTGTTGGGTAAAAGTGCATTTATAAAATATATGGAGAATAATATTAAATAATTACATTAGACCGATCAAATTATGTGCACTTATTATTATAGGGAAAGTGCATGTGAAGTGCACTTATAGAGTGTGCGCAATGGCATATCGACTGTATATTGCAACAGTAAATTATGTGCTATGCTAGGATGCACATTAATTCGGGACGCCCATGATGAGCACTAATTCGAGTTATTTTTGAAGGGCCTGATTTCTAAAATAACACCTGCAAGTGTTATTTGTGCTTATTCGTATTAACAGATACACATTTATACTATCATGATCGTGCCATAAATGTTTATACTGTTGAATTTCCAAAACCAAACCGATAGCCTGTTAAATCCAATAAAATTTAGTCTACCATACACAAAACTTCAGTTTCAGAAATTTAACAGCATTGCGACTCTATATATATATATATAAGCTTACAAATAGTAAAGATTTAACCGAGGTATTAGCATTTTCAAATTTCCCTAATAGTGACACCGATTTTAACTACGATATCTAAATTCTAAGTATATAAGTCCTGTCAAGAGATTCGGGCTTTCAATTTTATCATCTATTATTTATTGAATTCATTATATGATACGTAATCACATATATATCACCAATCAGATTTTTCATAGGCTGAATCCAATAAATAATTAATGAAAAACTTGAAAGTATTATTTTCTCTTGACGGAACTCATACACTATGATAGTTAGCACAGCCTAAAAAAAGATGGTGATTATCTGCGAGCATAATAAAGGTTGGATAAGTTTGTTTTACTAAGAACACGATAAACTAAAGAATATAGTAACTTAGGTAGAAATCGAAACACATAGTTTGAAAGAAATGCATAAGTTGAATTCTTATAAGCGTGAATTCGGTGCAGAGCTACTGTTACCATCGGTTGGGAGAGCAATTGCGGATGTTAATCCAATTTAGCTCCGATGGATTACTAGGTTCGGGATTTATAACACTTATACACGTGGGATGAGGTCACGAAACTCTTAAGCTGAGTCTGGGTTATCACTTAACAATCAAACTTTAATTACCAGGGAAGGGTTTATTATATACAATAAGAAATTCGAGACAACGATAATAAAGAAATAAAACAACAAATAAAGGAATAAACTAAACTAAACTAATAACTAATACATAAACTCTAATACAACATAAGGGGGGATCCGAATATAAACTAAATCTAAGACATCAAAGGGCTATATATATATTGAGACACACACGGTCTAATGAGACCTTGCCTGAGGAAACTTAACTAAGGCAGAAACCCAGGCCTTAAATACCTTTTACCTTACTAAGGGCTACTGCGCTATCTTTAATCCAGGCTTATCTTCTTAGTAATCAATCTTCGGGATGTGAACCATTCTCATTAGATAGCCTCCAAATATTGCTCACAACAATTGTGAGCTAAGCGCACAATGATTGTGAGCTAAGCACACAATGACTGTGCCAAATATTTACTGCAATTATTGCTTCTATCTAATGTTTATCGGATAGTAGGTGTAAATTAATTACCGGGATTGATCTACATCTCTAAGCCTTAATCTGCCGGATTGATCTATGTCTAAGTCTTTATCCGCCACCTAATAGCCTCACAATATTCTTGTGGCTTTGGGTCATTTAGGCTTTTAGTATCACCAAATCACAGCCAGGTCACGGGTTTAAAATTTAAACCATGGCACTACATATGATATCTATTTGCTTGTTTATTATTAGTATTGACTATAAAAGAGAAAAGAAATAAATTAGTCATTTACACATATAGTACATATCTATATAAACTTATCCATACTTTAAAGAAATATCAAGACAATTCAACATTAAATGATTATATCTCAAATATTAATTGTCATGTTGCATAAATAAAAGGTTCTAAACCCTATTGACACATTTAAGGTCACTAAGGCCATTCTCAAGCACCTCACTCAATGGATCGGATGTAAATTTTTAATTAGTTGGGAATTAAATAAATCAATCAAGTGAGTTACCAATTCGATCAACAAATCAACAAGATACAAACCACCTATTTGCCCAAAAAATTTACCATTGATAAAGATCACTCAAGCACTACTTTTACATTTTAACATATCAAACATAATAAACAATGAATTCACAACAAAATTCACAACAAATTTCTAACCGGTCTAAAAAAATAGCACTTTATTTTTAATGCTCGAAGCTTTTAAAACAAATAATCGACACCTTGATATGAGCATAATTAATACAACTCATCTTTTAATATTTGACCAAGCCGTAATGAATACTGCTATTCCACTTTTTGCTCATATAAACTTAATAAATTTTTTTTTTTACTTCTTGTTGCTGCAAAGTAACTTTCACTAATGATTTCAACAAAAGGTTAATATTGGTAAAATCATTAAAGGGAGAAGCCGACGTAACCGAAGCTGAAGATTCGACAGTCAGTTAAACAGAATTTTTTTTATTGGATTTTTTAGACGTTTTAGGCGGCATAATGAAGATCATAAAAAATAGAAAAAGAGTATGCTCAAGCATTTAATTCTATAAATATCGCGTGATGCTTGAGTGTCATCACGATCATTCTTTAATCAATTGATTTAGATGCTTGAGAATGGCCTAAGTCCTATAAAAAAAAAAAAAAAGAGCATTTGGGAAAAGTGATCTAAAAACAAAAAAAAGTGCTCTTAAAGAAATTTAACCAATCAGAAACATAAATAACTCTAGCAAAATTGTATGATTTCGAAATTAATAAATTCTATTGGTTAAAAAAAATTTCAAATCCCACTTTGGTGATATGAAAATCAATTATATTAATTTGTATCGCCTAAATATAAACATGTTTGGTTGCTTGGCGAGATTCATTTTTAAACCAAAATAGCGACACCTGTTTGAGCTAAAAGTCTGTTTATTTTTGATTCCTTCTTGTTAAGGCTATTGGTTGACATGAACAGTTTTTTTCATAAATTTTTGTACAACTAAGCATGCCAAACATGTTTTGAACAAGTATTTGAACGAAAATTTGATATTGTTATGACATTGTAAAATGATCATTATGATACAAAATAGCTTTTATTAATATATTGATCATACTGAAATCAATAAACTTATTGAATTCAGCTGAAATTATCATTGGAAGATTTTTTGTAAAATCTGCAAAAATCTGTATTTTTGCTGAATTTTACAGTTCTGCAAAAATCTGCATTTTTGCCGAATTTTACAGTTCTGTAAAAATCTGCATTTTTGCTGAATTTTACAGTTCTGTAAAAATCTGCAATTTTACTTATTTTTGTGAATTGAATTTAAAAATCCTGTAAAAATCTGCATTTTCACAGAAAATTGCAGACCTGCACTAAAAAAATTTTCCCGATGTATCTTTTAAAATTTTTCAAAATTAATTACAAAAAGGTTAGCCCTGATTGCCCAGGCTGGTCCGGCCTGAGATTTTTTTATTGGCCCATATTACTAAACTAGAAAGCTGAACACATATTCGGACCTTTCAAAGAACAATTAGTTCCAGCCTGGCTAGAACTATATTTAATCAAACACTTAAGCCTTATATAAGTTTTATTACAGTATAATTTCTAGTATAATTCTTAAACTTACTAGATTTTTTTTTTTTTTTGAATTTAGAAAAATTTGTATATAAGTAAAATAGTTATATTCAATTTTTTTATTTACCAACTAGCTGAAAACCCATGCAAGGGGTTGGAATTCCATGGCCTAGTAATCTAGACATCCAACTCTTTATGAGCAGGTTTTGGGTTCAAGTTCTAGTAGATATGTTTACTTACGAATATTTGAAAATATCTGCCATGGGAAGTTCAAGTAAATACAGGTCTGGATTAGAAATTTTCAGAAAGAGGTCTATTGTGAAGTAGTTGGCACTATGTGTAATGATAGTTGTTACAAAAGGTTCTATTACACAAAGGTTGTACATATAAATTTGCGATTGGCAAGGTAGTACTAATAACCTCTAAAGCAGCATTGGAGATCTTGTTTGGGAAGATGATTGGGTGGTAACCAGAATTGAAAGTAATGAGAAATGTGGTGAATATAAAGGGACCTGTGATAAAGAATTGGCCTTACCAAATTTGAAACACCTCTAGCAGTATAGAACTCACTGGCTAATAAGAAGTTGAAGCATAGAGGTATGTATATGTTGATAGATTTAACAGGTTCTGGTCATACTAATATAGAAGCCTTTGGGCATTAAGAGAACTTGGGAACACTAATAAGATATAGCTAGTATAAGTGCATGCAGTGGTAATCGAGAGCTACAACTGCTGAAAATCACTATAAAAAAAAAATGATGATACACTTGTTACCTCTAAGCCTCATGATACCACCCAACTATATTAACTACTAGAAGCATTCTGCAAAACATATCTGGAAACTCATTACCATATTGAGAAGTATAGTCGTTAGCACAATTACTAAAATAGATACATTAAGATCTGAGTTTCAAAGTTGCAGAAAATCAGCTAGTTATAGCAGCATACAGGCTTGAGATACTTATCTAATTGGATAGAGACAGCTGCATGGCTTGAGATATGAACTCCTAAAAATATGCTAGTAGGAACTAA